GAACCATGACCGAACCAACATATCTTATTGCCGCTTGGAAAAGACTTCAGGCTCACGGTTCAGGTGGTGCCAATGGTGCCAATTGCATTGCCACATATATCTGGACCATCAAGATTGAAGTTTTTTTTTATTATTGAAGATAATCTTGTGCCATCCCTTACCAATAAGCATATTTTTTCAGCTAATTTTAGTCGGTTGATAATATGCATTTGTTTAAGCATAGAATTTCTTCCTGTCATGCAATATCTGACGGCTGCGTCGTTCTGTCACATCAACTCCATGGGCCTATTTTATAGAAGTAGATGTAGCGCAGCGCCAGTTTTAGAAGCCTTTGAAAACAGTCGCCTAAGATCCCTTTTGGTTAATTTTGGGATGGGTCCAGGGTGTTTTTTTCATCCGTAGACGTCCGGATTAGCAAAAATTTCTGGTACAATGGGCTCGGAGCGTTTTCTTCCCATTGCGATGTCCCGTTAGCTTCTACTGCATTTCACAAAGGTCAAAATCTGCGCCTTCTCGTCCTCGGTGAGTCTTGTCCCATTTGGCATATATTTTACTTCGAAAAAATATAAATAAGGACACTGAACTACACCAGAAGTACACCAGAAGTACCCTAAATGGCGAAAATCAAGATATTCTTTATGTTGCTGTACTTTTTAACGTGAAAATATTACAGAAAGATACTAAAATGGGGAAAACCAATCGTAGTCTTATAACCATTAATTTCCACCTAGCTTTTTCTAATTTTCATAATTTTTTCTCATTTATTTTGAGGAAATTATTTTTTTCGCATATCGTAGGAACTGTTTTTAAACGTAGTTTAACCTCGTATAATTAGAATTGCGTAATTTTTTGTGCAAGAAAAATTTTTTAGAGAAAACTGGGTGGTCGTATAGCCATTTCCGCCACTGTATTAATCCATCTGTGACTTTGTATAAACCGTGAGTATACTTGTATACTTCAATGAAGTCACTACGCAGACGTCGATAACAGAGGCTCGGAAGCTTCATAATCTTTAACCTTTCTTCATAAAGCTTGCCTTTTAATCCCAGAATTATCCTTGTTGCGCGTCTTTGAACACTCTTGACTAAATTTTTTTCATTTTCTAGTTTTGGTGACCACACTGCGTTTCCAAACTCTAGGTTCAGGCGCACGACAGAGGTGAACAACAGTTTCATAATTTTTTTATCTAGGTACTCGTAGGAGCGTCTGATCAGTCCAAGTCGTTTATTGGCTTCATTAACTTGAGCTTTAATATGCCTAGAAAATTTCAATTCATTGTCAACATTAACTCCTAAATCTTTTTCCATTATCGCCTTCGACATCATCACTCTTTTTGTTGTGAAAGACGTTGTAGATGGAACCTGCTATCCATAATATGAACAGCGTCTTAAACAAAAAAAAAGAGAGAACATCAATTTAGAAGCAGCCGAATATTTATAATTCCTTCGGAAGTAAGCAAAATTACAATGTTTTTCGATAAAATATGTTGTCTGTTTTTTTTACAGAATCTGGGTGTTTTTCAGTAACTGTCTAGGTTTTTCTCAAATCATTGTCTGGGAACCCTGCCACGCTGGTGACGCACACGTAGTATACGTCATACGCAGCCATTCGAGCGTCAGACGCCGCGCAAGACGCATGGTATCTCGCGCATGCACCCGCGTTGTGCAAGTGTTTGCTGGCAAACTGATATACTCTTTCGTGAGTAAAATTGTGGCAATATCAGGAATAATCTTCATGTTGGTATTTATTTTTAGGCGGAAAGTTTTTCATACGCGACTTGTTATGTTGTTAATTGCAAAGTAAAGAACGTGTAAGGAGATCGTTTACTGTTGATGGCCTTATAGAACTGTTTTCAAAACAGGCTTCTTTCGTTCCATGCTCTGAATTTGCATTTCATGCTTCTCATGTTCTAAGTGGGAAGAATTATAATAACTTTAATCTAAAGTTTTTTTCTAGAATCAACTTACCACGAGTTCAAATTTTTTTTCTCCGAATCCTATCTTAAAATAAACCATTGTTCAGTAACAGTCAATTTCATCAGCTTTTTCAATAAATGAAATAGGATCAAATTTTCGCTCTAATTTAATTCCTGGTTTAAAATTTTGCTGCAGAACGACCGCTAGCATTTACGTATGACTTGATATGTGTTCTTATTAATTGGACTCGAGCCTTAATTGTTAAATTTGAAGCTGCTGTAAAGTTAGTCATTGATAACTTTAAAACACAATAATTTCATCATACAGCGAGAGGGCTTTGCGTAATGAGTCATACAAGTTGACGGAAAAATATGCTGACACGAGCGGACCTCTTCCGCTTCACACGAATATGAGAAACTTGATATCTTGTGTTGATGAAACTCCAAACTTCAACCTGTACTGATAGCTGGGCAATCGGCAATTTATTGTATATGCCCGTTGGTCCCCTTGCAATATACACCGACACGAGAGGTTATCTTAACCTTGTAATCTCCACTGACACGAGAGGTTATTTTACCGTTGCAATCTCCACTGATACGAGAGATTATTTTACCCTTGTAATCTCCGCCGACACGAGAGGTTATCTTACCCTTGGAATCTCTACTGACGCGAGAGGTTATCTTAACCTTGCAATCTCCACCGACACGAGAATCTTATCATTGTAATCTCCACTGAAGCGACAGGTTATCTTACCCTTGCAATCACTACCGACGCGAGAGGTTATATTATCCTTGCAATCTCCACTGATACGAGAGGTTATCTTATCCTTGCAATCTCCACTGACTGTTATCTTACCCTAGCTTTCAATCTCCAATGAAGCTATAGAGGTTGGGAAGTGGCATTGGCTATCGGCATTTCCCTTTTGTAAGAAGTTCATTTAGTAGATCTGTGGGTATAGTACGATTCAAAGCTATCGTTACTACCACTCATTTCACTTTAGTTCAGTTAAGGTATTTGTAAAATCTCTCGCCTCGGTTTTCTCTGGCGTTTAATCGTATGCTAAGTGTTTTCGAAACAGGCTCAATCGGAGGCTACAGGCTCGTACATATTATCTTGTCATATAATAGAATAGAATAGAAGTGTCGGCACTGAAGAAATAGGCCCATGGCCTGTTGCCGATTCTTGAATTTTTCGTGACTTGATTCACAAGGGATCCGGCCTTTGGAACCTCGTCTTTGAACACTCTCTACTAAATTTCTGTCCTTTTCAAATTTCGGTGACCACACGACGTTTCCAAACTCCAGGTTCGGGCGCACGACAGCAACAAACAACTGCTTCATCGTTTCTAAATCTAGGAACTCGAAAGAGCGTCTGATCAGTCCAAGTCGTTGATTGGCTTTATTAACTTGACCTTCAATATGCTTAGAAAATTTCAACTCATTGTCGATATTAACTCCTAAATCTCTTTCCATTGTCGACTTCGACATCATAAACTATGTTGAGGTAGAATCATCCTATTTAAAGTTCATACGGATATACGGATTTAATATCGACTCGTTGAATTGTAAAAATGTCTAATGTGCACACATAGCCGTTAACAATTATATGTCAATTTAATCTTATAGTTATCTTTCGCTTTCCATGTTTTCATTGTAGACTTTTTTAAATACTGTCTCCGAGATGCATTGACTGCTCATTGCAGGAAGAAGTCTATTGCTGCGCTACCAGTTTTATTCCCGTACCGGTACTTAATATTATAATTAATAACGGAATTTCCAGGTTGAAGTAAAAGTAAGGAAAACATTGAAAAATAGAAAGATAGTGAGATAATATTACATAAAGAAACTAGCATCATACAAGAAAGCGCTCAGAGAAATGAGCGAGACTTTGTCTAAATAATAATGCACTTTGTCCTTGTGTGTGTCATCCTGACCTACTTTTGCGTGGCAAAAAAGGTGTATCAGTGCTACGTTCACTCTCTGTTCGTGCTGCTCGTAAGAAAGTCTTGCATTATTTGAACAAAATGACTTATGCTTTTTTTGCGTGTGCAAGCATTAGCTTCAGTAAATTGAACAGATTTTGTTTCTTGCATTGGCACGATAACCTCGTAAACAACAATAGAAATCAAGTATGTACTGTACAGGCAAGTGCATGTATAGTTCATGCAAGTGTATGTACAGTACACATGCAAGTGTATGTACAGTACATGCAAATGTATGTGCAGTGCATGCAAATCAGTATAGGACTATATCCTTAGTATCCTTAGTATTTGTTTGGGACATAGCAGTCCCAGGCCACGATGTATTATCGTTCATCCGCCCTCATTTGGGCCACCTGATGCACGATGCTGTTGCTTGCTTCTCGCCACTGGTAGTGTTGCAGGGGAGGTCGATCCGGGATTGTGCTCAGGAACACGTCTAGTTGTCTCTTGAAGGTCTCCAGGGTGAACTCCCCCTCTCTTAGATCCCTTGGTAGGGCGTTGAACAGCCTTGACCCTGCCACGGAAAGCGATCCTTCCCGCAGGGATTGAAATCTGACTGCGGATCTGTTACGCAGGGGAGGGATCTTGCACAGTCTCCCCCTTCTCTCATTGTGATATGTCTGAATCCTGAAGGTCTCGCTCTCGAAGTTTGGCACCATTCCGGTTATCATTTTCCATGTGTACAGAATGACATACCTCTTCCGTCTCCTCTGCAGTGAGTACAGACTCAGTCGCTGTAACCTCGCCCAGTAGTTAAAATTCTCCATCCCTCTGATCCTGGAAGTAAAGGTTCGTTGGACTCCTTCCAGTTGCCGTATTGCGCCTAGTGTGAACGGAGTCCAGAGCTGGCAGCAGTATTCAAGGATAGGTATTACAAGGGCTCTGAAGAGTTTGATCATCGGTTCCGCTTCTTTCGTTCTGAACGTCCGCCAGATCCACCCCATCTGTCGTCTACCTTTTGCGGTTATTGCCGGTATGTGATCACCAAAATTGACCTGATTGTTTATCAACACTCCTAGTATATAGATGATTAATGTTATTACGACTGAGTCGTGTGAGTTCTGTTCCAAACCTCTTAATTCCCAATCAATCCTTCAACAGGAAAGAAACAAAATCTGCATAGGCACCACGCTGACAATCATAATGCCTTACAAGTTGATTTTCTTAATAAAATGTTAATTTGGGGTTAATAGAATCCCTTTTGAATTTTCTTTAGTTGTTGTTCATTTCTACAGTGTTCAGCACGGAGTGTTCGGTCACTTCGGTGCAGTGTTCAGTTTTCGGAATAGAGTTCAGTGTTCCACGTAGAGAATTCAGTGCAGACTGTTCAGCGCAGAGTGTTCGGTGCAGACTGTTCAGTGTTCAGCGCAGAGAATTCAGCAGAGAGTGTTCAGTGTTCAGCGCAGTGTTCAGCGCAGAGTGTTCAGTGTTCAGTGTTCAGTGTAGAGCAGCAGGCGCCAACGATGATCAAGTGTCGTCTCAACCCCTGGCATGGCGTGGACGTGGTCATGTACATCGCATGTAAGTTTATTTATTGACTCTAAATCAATCTCATTTGTAAACTATTTGTATAGACAAGAATTATGAGTTTAAATTGAATTCTCGTTAGAATAGAATTATTGAGTTAGAATAGAAAGAATTAAATTTATTTGAATGCGGTCAACCAATCGTGTTCTTCAATAGTACTGGTAACAAAAAATAAATGGGTCATATTGTTCAAATAGTGACACACTTTCTTACCAATAGCACAAGCATACAGCTGACATAGCACTAAAGCGCAGCTTCAATGCAATGGGACCTGTTCAAAGGCTGACCCCAAATCTTTTGTAAACCAGAATAAACTATCAGTTACCCAGCTAATTAGGCAAAAAATATTTTCCAGTAAATAATTAATTAATCTAAAATAATTTAGCTCATTTTTCAATTAATAATTGTTTATATTATTCTCACTAGCGTTTAACCAATTTATTCAACGCAGGTCTGAGCGCGGCGCTGGTGCTGGGCATGTCCCTTATCGCCCCCCGCCCAGAGCAGGTTAGCTGCTCCGATCCTGCGCTGCTCCAGCCCTACCGCGCCGACACCATCTCCCTGGCCCTCGTCCTGCTTACCTGCGTCATCCTTCCCGCGCCTGTGGTACGAATAACATTACGAAGACAACAATCATAAAGAACAGTGGTACAGTTAAATAAAATATCAATCTTCACCCGCAACTGTGGCACGTTTAGATAAACGATTAGATAAACTAATAAATCTTTGTTCACAAGCAACAGTAGTACGAATAAAATTAAAGTGGACGCAATCATGGAGAGCTACGATACGATAGAATAATAAATAGTTTCTTTACTAACCTGGGTTAACCTGCCGGTGCCTGTGGTACGAATAACATTAGAGAGATTTTTTTTTTTTTTTTTTTTTTTTTTTAATAAGGCCTCCCACACTCTGCCGCACGAGCCGCGAACCCAGCAGAAAAAGCCGAATTATTGACGTGCGACTCAGCAAAAGTGTCGACGCAGGTTGCATCCCAGCACAAACACCTCCCATTAGAAAACGGGAAAACCGTTAAGCCATCTGGTCTCTTACCATCCCCTCTTACAAAATTTAGAGAGATTACAATGTTAAGGAGCGGAGGACCGATAAATTAATCAAATCTTTGCTCACCAATAACTGCGGTACGAATAATATTAGAGTGCGAGAAATAAAGAAGAACTGAGGTACGAATTATATTTATCTCTGCTCACCCACATCCGTGGCACGAATAAAATTGTACCACGTCGAAACGTTTTATTGGATGACCAAGCGAGCATCTGTGGTGATCGCCAAGAAGCATCCGTTAGTTCAAGTTTGTAAGTTTTGCGACCGTGATGCTCAAGCTTCCGTTTAAATCATAACTATAAGTCTATAAAAACCTACACTCCTACACCGTGCGCGGTGTAAACAATTGCTGCAGGTGATAGGACGCTTTCTAATGCAGAAGCCAATAAGGTATTTAGTCGTTTGGAGCCAATAACCTATTTGCCAATACCTATTCTCATTTTCACCGTTAACCTGTATTTGTTTCCACTTTGATTTGAGGTAAAATTTAATGCAGATTGTTGCATCCTTGGTGTAAAAAACACTTGATTATAAATAGTACTCATTCACAAATAAAATGCTCCACAGTTGCAATTGATGCACGGCTAAAAGTTCACTCGCGACAATTTCCGGGCTTGAAGTGAACATATTTTACGTTGACGTTCACAGACTGAAAATAGAGCGATGGATCAGATTTGGTTAAAAGTTTGACCGCCATCAGCACGAGCGGACGTGCGACCGACGACATTTCTTACACGAATGCCGCTGAAAATGGTCTAGTCTAGCTGCTGAATTTAATTTCCGAGCTCAGATTGGGATTAAATTTTAGTCTTAATATGTCTGGCAGGTGCTTCATTCAAGCAATATCTCAATCAGTACGTGTTTGGTATTTACTATGTCATTTTGAACTTACTAATTTAGCTTGTTACAAAAAAAAAATCAACACAACGATAATGTAATGGATTAAGAATTTTCAATTTTTCAGATCTTCCTCACGGAATGCCTGACGTTCACCCCACACGCACAAGTTCTCAGAGTCGATGCAACAGAACTTGAGATGAGAACTGGGCGCTCGAGGTACCGGGAATCGTTCTACAGCTCATTGTCCCTGTACCGGGACCTGGTAGTGGGCATGGTGATGTCATACCTGCTGCTGGAGCTGCTCAAAGTTGGTACCGCGCTACCAAGACCAAACTTCTGGGACATCTGTGGTGCCGACACACGTATGGAACTGTGTGGTGGTCACAAGTGAGTGATGTCCATCGCAGGTGAAAAGTTCTCAAGTTTTTAAGACATGAAAACAGAACAGGTTTTTGAGATAAATGAACAAACGCCGCATACAATAATTGACCCTCGCAATAAAATTTATTTGTGAGAGAAGTTCTCGCTAATATGTATAATTTTAATTAAGAATATTACAAATTTTAGTTACATCTTTGGTCGCTTTTAGATCTTTAATTATACTGAGTAAAATTATCGGCGTCGTTAGGATAATATTCTTCTTAATTATCTTCCGAACTTGTCATTAATGTGATAGTTCACAGGATTATTTAGAGATGAACGTATAACGTATATAAAGATTTATGACGTTATTATTCGCTTATGATATGTACAGTTTTGCATATGTTGTCCCTAGTAGAGTATATGTTTAGAATAGTTTGCGTATATTGTGTTTAGTATGCATATGCTAAGCTTAACATAGCATAGCATTGTCTACGTTGAAGATTTGGCCTAGTCTGGCCTATAACGCCTATTCAAGACATCGCAGAATTGTGCTAGCTAGATGAGGCTCGAACCCGCTTCTGTTACAATCTTGGTGCTCCTAACTAATCGGCTACGCCAATAAGACTAGATAGTAAGTGTGAGCATTTCAGCCAAGTGTTGCAAAACGAAAAGTTTAACTATAACAACTAGTAATTAAATTACAACATCAGCCAGTAGATTAAACTGATAAGAAACATTTAACCGCAACTTTGAAAACCTTCAAAATTTTAAAATGTTGATAAATGTTCAAAATATTTCTAATCATCAGCAAGATAGTGACCGCGGAGTTGGCGAGAAACTGCAGCAACATGAAACGTTAGATAACAATAATGAAAATGTTCATAATTCTAAAATGCTCACTATTATAAAATGTTCACAATCTAAAATGTGCACAATTTCAAAAAAGTTCACAAGTTTATAACGTTCACAATTTAAAATGTGAGCGATTTTAATAAGTTCACAACTTAAAATGTACACGTTGGGGAAAAGTTCGCAATTTAAAACATTCACAATTGAAAATGTGTACAATTTCAAAAACTTCACAAGTTTAAAACCTTCACAATTTAATAAGTTCACAAATTAAAATTTGCACGTTTGAAAAAGTTCAAAATCTAAAACGTTCACTATTTAAAATGCGCACAATTTTCAAAAGTTTACGATTTTAAAACGTTTACAATTTCCCCTCAGGAAGCTAGTGGCCGTGGACCTGGCGGTTAACTGCAGCAACCCTCGCGCCCTCAAGTGGAGGCATCTGGCTGACGCTGCTAAGAGCTTCCCCTCGGGACACAGCTGCTTCTCGTGCTTCATAGCCCTCTTCTTAACCGTCTGTATACGTGTATTTAGTTAATATAATAATTTATTTGCCTCTTGTTAACCGTCAGTGTACGTGTCTTTAGTTAATATAATAATTTATTTGCCTCTTCTTAACCGTCAGTGTACGTGTCTTTAGTTAATATAGTAATTTATTTGCCTCTTCTTAACCGTCATTGTACGTGTCTTTAGTTAATATAGTAAATTATTTGCCTCTTCTTAACCGCCATTCTACATGTCTTTAGTTAATATAGTAAATTACTTGCCTCTTATTAACAGTCAGTGCACACATCTTTAATTATTATAATAAATAAATTCTTTGCTAAATGAAATTCTACAATACACAGCAGGGTAGTATAAAAACTGCAAATTGTTAACTACTGAAAATAAATTCGTTGCTGCATGGAAATTTACAACTACAGAGCTGGACAAAGGTGCTCTGGTGAAGCGTCCACTTGAGTTGAAGCAAGAGTTCGTCAAAAATGGAATTTTAACTACATTGTAGATTAATGAAGGCCATTATTTGAATTTTAAAAATGGAAGGTAAAATAAAAGAGTCCCATAGTACTTGTCCAATTATACAGGGTTTTTAAAAGATCTTGCAATATTTTTTCGAAAAATATCATTGGTATAATATTTTTATTGGTTATTTAAATGATGTGACAATAATTCTTACTTTTCTACCTGTCGACGTCGGCCAGGAGCTCGTGAAATGCCTGGTGTACATGGAGTTTGGTGATAGACTAATTTGCTCCTTAGCAATGATGATGGTCCATTTGACTGCTAACCCCAACCAAATGCAAAAAAATATAACTCAGTACTCACTGCAGTGAGTGACAGAGCGCATTTTCTCGTCGACGAAAACTTGATAGTCACGGACGGACAGACACAAGGCGCGTTCACTGCCGCCGCCCGCATAAATGGTGACTCTGGATACTTATTACTTGGACGAGCGCACGTATCTGTCAGCTAAGATGGGCGAAATTCATATTCCTGGCAGTTAACACAATCATGTTATGAAAAATATTCGGTAAAATCAGTTAGGATTTTAAAATATCTTATTCCTGTTAGCGAAAATGATCATTTTAATATTGACGCACAAAGACAGACAGACAGACGGACAGACGGACATGGCGAGCACAATAACGCTTTTTTCCATAAATGAGAAAATGCGCTAATAACTCCAATTTCAACCCCGTTTTTTTAGATTTGAAGGAAACCTTATAGCCTCTTGTTCTGTATAGCTTTGATTTAGATAAAAAGAAAATCGGATTTAATTATTTACTATCCGAAATAAGCTCGATCGGTCTCGATAATTCCTGCAATTTCAAAATCTCGAATCCCGTCACTGATATTGACGTTGATAATAATGAAGCTTATGTATGCTAACTAAAAACTAACCGTTGAAATCCAGGTTCTGCATGGAACAAAGAACTCCTTTCTGATTCCCCAGTTTCTCAATGACGCACTATTCTCATACTAAGAATAAATTTTCAGGTCCATGTAATATCCCAACACGATAAGTATCCTGGATACGCGCCCCAACAGCCCCTATATACAATATCCCGACACGATAAGTATCCTGGATACGCGTCCCAACAGCCCCTATATACAATATCCCGACAAGATAAGTATCCTGGATACGCAGCCCAACAGCCCCTATATATTTGTAGTTCCAGGCCTCCAAACATTAGCTTAGATGAATGTGTTAGTTATTAGTTAAATAAAATTAGTTGTTTGTTTCACAGTCCCGTTTCAAAAAACCGAATTACTCCACAATTGTTCTTGTAATTTCTAATTCACGTAATAATGGACATTGAAACCTTTCAAACAATCGTAATAGGTTTCAAACACTAATTATAAGATTTATTACAGACTAGACTGGGCCGCCCTCCTGCTCTGTAATGAACATTTTCAACTAAAAATTCACCTTGCAGTCATATTACTTCGTTCGCCTCGGGCCTGTCAACGACAACCAACGTCTGCCCGCCACCTGCAAAGTAGAGGACCGACGTCTGCCCGCCACCACCGCCGTAGACGACCGACGTCTGCCCGCCACCGCCCTACCCACAGACGTGCCCAGGTGGTACGGTGTGGCGCGGCGGTGGCTCCCGCTGCCGTGGATTGTGTGGGCTGTGGTGGTGTCGTGCAGTCGACTGTGGGACCACAAACATCATTGGCAGGACGTCGTGGGGGGCGCCGTGTTGGGACTCGCCATGGCAGCTTACACGGTCGGTAGTTATTAATTTTTGTACAATGCAATCGGTTCTTATCTTGGGATCTGAGACGATTTTTCAAGCAACTCGTCTACAACATTCATCTTGCGATCACTGCAAAAAACGTCGCAAAAAAATGTGATACTCACCAATCATTGGATTTGGTGTTCGGTAATTTTTGATTTTCTGTTCATGGACCGTAATTTCAAAATTAGCTCAGGTACACTTAGCGGGCAATTTTTCGTCTGTGATTGGTGGGTTTAGCTTCAAAATTAGTCAGTGATTGGCTGATAGAGTTACAAACTCTTGAATATTTTTCACAGTACATCCCTCGGTAACTTAGACTTGACCCGGCCAACATCGCACAAGAGGAAAAAAAGCGGAACGGAACTAACGGTCGAATGGCTGAGCAGATCCAGTTTTCTTGTACGCAAAATACATGATAATATATGGCATAGAATGTAATTTTTTACATATGGGAGGAAAAAGTTTCAAAAACTCTCAAAAAATTACATGTCTGGAGGATATCATTAACACGATGCCACGTTTGTTTCCAGATCTTGGTGATAAGTCAGAACTTCCGAGTAACGCGGAGAGTCGACAACCACAGGGACGCTGGACATGAACTGAATGCCTACCGCGTGGTCTCCCTGGGGTGAATTGAACCGTGTGCTTCGGACGCCAAGTCTTGTGTTCCATAATCTACTTAATTATTAAGTCTTCATTATTGTACTTAGCGAACTGTTCACTGTTAAACCTAGAAGGTTTTCTGGTCCCCTATAAGCCATGTTCACCTAGTCCTGAGTCGAACAAAAACTCATTAATATTCACGTAGTCGCCTTATTACACTTAGAGATGGATTCCTCGTTCAAGATTGGTCGGTTTAAGTTAAAAATCCCGCCAGTAAGTGCCTACAAAAGTTTCGATCTCGTAACTATTTTCGATAATACGACCCATGATCAAATTTGGGCCCGCCGTTGTTGCCTCGCAAATTAGCAACAAAGTCGTTACTATAGCTTGTAAATAGTTACCTGATGCAATATTAGCGATTTTCTGATCAGGAGGATATAATATAATATAGTGTGCCATGGTCTAAAATTATTGGCATTTATCATGAATACTGAAGTCTGCATTAGTCATGTTAATGGTACGAGTTCTTGTTTGGAGCATATCGAGCGATAATCGTAAGTGATGTAGCAATATCTCCATATTGAGTGGTGATCGTAGGTCAAATCACCATATCACGTGGTGATCGTAGGTCATATCACCATATCGAGTGGTGATCGTAGGTCATATCACCATATCGAGTGATGATCGTAGGTCATATCACTATATCGAGTGGTGATCGTAGGTCATATCACCATATCGAGTGGTGATCGTAGGTCATATCACCATATCGAGTGATGATTATAGGTCATATCACCATATCGAGTGATGATTATAGGTCATATCACCATATCGAGTGGTGATCGTAGGTCATATCACTATATCGAGTGGTGATCGTAGGTCATATCACCATATCTAGTGGTGATCGTAGGTCATATCACCATATCGAGTGGTGATAGAAAGTCGACAATAATCTCACTATTTCGAATTGTGATCGTAAGTTTGAGAGTGATCTCACTATTGAAAATTATGTTAGCGATTGGTGCGTAAATTGTTAGTGGTGGATTTACGTAGCATTCATTTAAACGAATCTCAATCTTGACATTACGTTGTTTGTTTGTTCTTAAATATGGTAAAGTCGGGTCATTATTTCTTGCATTGTATATTAATATTATGTACTCAAAATAGTGATTGTATTGTGTTTTTGACGCAGATTGAAGTACGTGTGTCTAGTATAAGAACTAAACAATGTTAAGTTTTCATTTGAAGGTGAGCTGAACTTTGGCAATTATCTTTGACGGTAAATGATTAATTTAGCATTTAAAAGATGTTGAATAATAATAAATCGCGGAATTTTTAAATTAGCTGTGAAAATTTTTGAGTCTTTGGTTTGTTTAAATATTTGTTAAATATTTATTTGTTCCTCTATAATACAAGTCAAATTCTTGGCTCGGATGAGATATTATCAAAAGGTTTTAATTACGATTATTTTTTCTCATGAACTAAGCTTGACCTAAATCAAAAACATGTGCAACCATACTTGTTTTAAATTTCAATTAAGGTGGCCTTATTGATACACAAAAATTTCAATCAGAACTATAAAATATTTTGAAAATTAATAGTGATTGAATAATAACAACACTGCATAAGAAATATTTACGGGTAGGAAGTTGTAAAGTAAAAAATATCTTATCAGATGATAGTGCGAATAAAGGAGACAATTTCAAAGTAAGTTATTAGATATCGTTATTAGTTGAATTAAAATAATTTTATACGTCGTAAATGCTACATGGAAGAAAATTTTCTTATTCAAAATGTTCCTATTTACCAAAATTAAGCAAAAAAGTGTATGTGACCTCATTTATGTTTCCTCTTATGTTAGACAGGTAAATATTTATGAGTGAAGCGGTCAATCACTTGCAAGATATTATACAGCTCAAAGCAATGCATTATATCTCATATATCTTTTGTAATTTTATAAGCAGCTATTCTTCTAAGATAAGCTTTTTTTAATGCCTGTCAGTGTTGTTTCTTTACTGAAGAACATTCTTTGAATTAAAACTGTATCGTGAAGCTCGGCCAGTTCTCTCCTTTCGTGTGCATATTTTGGTATATTTTTTTTAATATCGGGATAGTCAATAAATTTTTTCGTTTCAGTAACTATAAATATTTACTGAAAATGTAACGAATGAATTCCTATGTTTGAGCAGCTCTACACATAATCTTACCGCCGAGACATAAAAGAACATGAGCTTAAAAAAATAGCTGATTTAAGAATAATGACGCAGATAAGAGCAATTCAAATTTTCAAATGCCGTGAAAATTTACACATTTAGTCAATTTTACTGTTTTATAGAAAGACAGAAAATGAAGTAAGTATCTATATTTCCTTGGTCTCCAGACATCAGCAGTGGCAAGTAAGACGTACAAAGGTCATTATGAGGCATTATACTGCAGTGAATATAGGCAAGTCATTTAATTCAAGTCATGTAATTCCTTCATGCTTCATACCGCATTGTTGTGGAGAATGTTCTCTACACCGTATACATATACTAGCGCATTTTGGTTATGGAAGCTGTATTATTTGTATGATGGCATATATGGCGATGTGATGCGTGCATAGAGCATTTAAGTAACAAATATAGTAATGAATTTAAACTGATATGATAAGGAAAATTGATCGGCATTTTATCAATTACATTTTTATGACTTCATTGGTCAGATTGTACAATAGTAAAATAAAATGTATAAAAAAAAATTTTAAAGACCACGTTTTTCATGTGGACTCAGAAGTAGAAAATAATTTTTCGGCAGCTACTGATCTCTGTTTGCTTTCATTCTCTTGGTCTTTTGTATTTCAGTTAAAATATTTTACAACATCTAAAACTAGAGCGCTAGCTAATGGGAAAGTTGGTGAAATATCGATTGCAAGATTTGATCATCACAGACACGAAAGCGAGCTAAGAAAAACGTAGTAATAATATAGATTTTTCATAGTATTTTGGCTCACTTATAATTATCCAAGAAAATTCCATTATACATTCGTGAAAAGTTCATTGCAATAATTCAAGAACAGTTCACAGTAAAGGAAGTTAGGAGTGAAATGCTATACAAATAAAAGGTGTGGATAATTAGCACAACTGGTACGAGAAAAAAAGCTAAGCTATGTTCATCGTGAATTTGAGTACAATGACATTTGTCATCAACTGTGCTATAAGCAATACACATGCTTCCGTTCCTGGTCAATGGACTCGCTCAAGATGAGATAGCAGATACTCGCATAACAATGTCTACTTTGCTCTCCTTTAATATTTTTTAGTTACGATCTCGTGATGATTGATAATTGCCTAGAGATAAGGTGTACGAGATAGCAGCACTACAGCTTCTATATCACTAATCCCGCAGTTATTTATATGAGTTCATTAGACGCACTCGTATTATTTGTATAAATGCGATTATTTTTATATACTAACTCACGTTTATACATTTCTATCACGATTTTTTTAATACATCATTCTTTAAAGCTGCGGTGAAGTCTACATCAATTATATCAATAGTTTTATTAATATTTATTTGAATCTGGAATGTGCCTTGCACGGTAAAAGCTGGACTCAGCTCGAACTTTGATGGCTGCTACTGACGCTACCCCAAACTTTATTTATTTTAATAATTAATGTTGATTAATTATTAAATTAATTACTGGCAATTGATAATACCATTAATTGCAGGAAAAAGTTGTATGCAAGTTCTTCAAGATTGCGATAGCAAATTTGTATATAGGCTATACAACATTTAATTAGGTAGTAAAAGCCTACAGTAACACACTTGTTGTGCTTAGTATCACTGATACGTTCTTTTGTGAGGGAAAACTGAATGAAGGAGACCCACACGGAGGCAATAGTGCATCACCAGGTGGACAAAATCTCATTTATTTCTTCGAGTGTAGCATGCGAATTAAATGTATACAGTGAAGTATCTGTTGAAATGTAATGCGTTCCATTTAATCAACAGCGAAGCTACGAAATATTCAGCAAGAAAATAAAACAGCGAGAAATGAATTAATTTATTACACCATGTTTGTATCATGTAACTTAGCAATAGAGAAATAAATAATTAACTAAATAGTTACTGACGTAACTTAGCAATAACGTAGCCTGAACTTACGTTACGTCGCTTCGTAACGTCAACGCAGGCAGGGACGTCGATTGCTGGGACCTTGGCGTGATGAAAGGATCCTGTCACGTCCTGTGGTGCAGTGGTGCAGTGTCCTGTGATGCAGTGTCCTGTGATGCACTGCACGGTGCAGTGATGCAGTGTCCTGTGATGCAGTGTCCTGTGATGCAGTGCACGGTGCAGTGATGGAGCCTTTTTTGTACGGTACAGCAGTGCATTGTCCTATGTTTCACTGTACGTGGTGCAGAGGTGCAGTGTACAGTTCGGTGCAGTGCTGCAGTGTCACGATGTGCTGCATAGCTGGACAGTTCAGTGGTGCAGTGTAGTCGTCATAGGTTCCACTGCAATGTGACGCAGTCGCGCAGAATCGTCATGTGATTCACTGCACTGCATTGTGCCATGCACTGTACAGTGTTGGTGCTATCTGCACTAAACGTGGCAGCAGTGATGCATATTATATTAAAAACATTATGCAAAGCACTAATGGTAACAAGTTCAGTATTGTTCAGTAATTCGTCATGATTGCTATCATTAAAAAAATAAGCAGTTTAAACCTTTAAACCTTAAATCAAACCAAGCCAGCAGCGCACAGAGAAGTCTTAACAGAATTTCCTGAGGTCTTGTAGCTCCATTGTTCACATTGTCATAGTCTTTTTATGTCAGAAATATCCCGCTTCACCATTTACATTGTTCGAGAGCTATTATGTCAGGATTATTGTGGTTTAAAATGTAACGAACTCATTGTGACAGAAATATCTTGGGTTCGGCTGCGTCACATCAATGCTTGTGCTACATCATCCCATCCCCTTGATGTTAAGCTTGGTCCTTGCCACTTGATTCATGATTAAATTGTTGGAATCATGGCATTTATATATAGTTACAAAATAACAACGTATTTTACGATCATTGTTTTACGTGAATCTTTGATTCTTGTCATGGAAGCTTCCACTTCGGTGACCATATAGCCAAAAAAAAAAACGGCCAAGTCCGCAGATAAATAAGGCCAAAAGAGGCCCGCAGTTCAAGATTTACTTGTAAATTTATAAGTTGCGATGTAATATTAAATGTTCCTTTATTTTGTAATTTGTAAATGCTCTATAGGAAGTACCGCCTTCAAAAATATTTTTGCCGACTTATGCACTTCAAAGAAAAACTATTTATTACAATTTAAAGAAAAATCTAAATAAAAATTAAATCGTAGAATTTGTCGAAAAAAATATCTGGCAAACTCTGGCACATGCCATACAGGTTCGGGGGTGCTTGAACAACAGTGGACACCCATTTTAGACGAATTGATAGTTGTCGGGGTATGAAGTTTGCTTGATGATATTTACTATGGTCTTTCTGAGTCTTTACGATGGCCACTAATAGATTTCAGTGAGCTAGCACTGAAACCGAAAGAGTTGAGATACTGAACAAGTTAAGTTACTAATGGAAGTAGCAAAAAAATGTTTCCGATGCTTAATAAGGTTGTAATCGTGTAGGAAATTAACTTCTGGAATTTGAGACCACGTCCAGAAATGATTTACCTATTAATACAGGGTGCGCCACAGAAACTTACTTATTTGAAAGGTCAATAAAAACAAAAGTACTCAGTTATTGTTTTAATTTTTTTTTATTCGAGAAAACAGTATCCCAAATTTTTTTTCATACAGTTTTGAAAATTAAATCTCATGAATGACGGCCTCCATTGTGCATAAACTAATGAAGTCGCTTTTTTTATAATGGTTTCCACTCTATGCAGCATATCAATCGGTATTTTGGCAATGACGTCGCGAATGTTGTTCTTGAGGTGTGCTATGGTCCGTGGTCGATCGACATAAACCAGAAATTTCAAATATCCCCATAAAAAGAAATCGCATGGAGTCAAACCTGGAGAGCGTGGCGGCCATTGGAGATCGCCTCTGTGAGCGATGAGGCGGTCGGGGAAATGATGTCGCAATAAATTCATCGAGTCTCGTGCTGTACGTGTTGTGGCTCCATCTTGCTGAAACCACACGTTCCTAAAGTTCATTTCTTCGAGTCTTGGAAGAAAAAGTTCTTCGATCATGTTCCTGTAACGAGCTCCATTAACGGCAACTGCGCGTTCGTTTCTTAAAAAAAATAAGGACCAATTATTCCCATTACCGACGTCGCACACCTGACAGTATCTGGTGAAACTCACGTGGATTTACACCACACCAATAACGCATGTTTAGCCTGTTGACGCAGCCGGAAATGTGGAAGTGAGCCTCGCCACTGAAAAAAAGACCGCGTCTTCAGGCAGGTTGTCAACCAGCATTTTACATGCATTTTGACGGGCAACAAAATCGCGTTCACTTAATTCTTGCACTACAGCAAATTTATTTGAGAAACTTTGAGAAACAAACTTGGGAACTTTCCTCTTCAGATGCACCCCCTCTTGCCCCTATACCCGACCAACTAACCGCACAGTAATTTTTTCAAATAAGTAAGTTTCTGTGGCGCACCCTGTATTAAACAAATCTATATCAGTTAAGGTTCGAGCTTACTCTTCAGTATGCTTAATTGGAAATTGGATATAGCTCTCTTCACAGATTCTCAAACAAGATGTATGTCTGCTGTTTGATGACCAGTCTACTATACGAAAATAGCTTTGAGGACCCAACGTAACATTCATCGTCATCGCCAGTCTGTTGATTATGAATGATATGTTCCGTGTTATCTAATCCACACTTGGACTTTGCATTGCATGAGATTTGGCTTCGTCATTGCCCGAGGGTGACGCACTTTTGTTTCGACTTTAAAATGCAAGGTCGAAAGGATTTTGCAAATTTTCATGTGCATTATGTACGAATTTGCAGAGAATCGACGAATATTATACCGTTAGATAGACGAAGCTTGACATTAAAACCAACAGAAATTTTGATTTAAACAAATAATTCTATTGATGATATAGGAAATTTGCATCGACAACCTCCGTATCCGAGACTTCGTAAATTTCTGCAAGCAAAATGTTACCCGTCGGAGCCCGCAAGTTCTTGCTAGGTCTGCCGGACCTGCTCTTCATCGTGACAGGTGAGCTCTAGGCGATAGTTAGACTTAGAGCTTACATGTGAACAATAATTGTTCCTTATTTCACTACATTAGCATAGATGACTTAATTTTTGGGCGTAGATTGTTGTAAAGATTCGTAGTTATTATATCGCAACCTAGCCCCTTAACCTTGAGAAGTATATGGGCAGCAACCGATCGAGCAACAACCTTGAGCAAAGTACGTAATGTGGAAATTATCGCCCTAATTATGGTTTTGTAAGCAGCTCCTAAATTATTGAGCCTACGTGCAGAATATCATGACTCGGCCTACGTGAAGAATATCATGAAATTTTCCACAATATTTCCAACTATAATTCGGCACCATGTTGGTAAGGTTGATCCATTTGTTGTGATGGTGCTACGTGTACGTAGGAGGTAAGGCAATCGGGCGGCAAGAGCAAATGTAGGTATGGGCGGCGAACAATATATTACTAAAATGCAGCCTGAGTGCGATTATTTGGCCGCGCTGTGATCATTTGGCCGCGCTGTGATTATTTGGCTGCGGTGTGATCATTTGGCTGCGGTGTGATCATTTGGCTGCGGTGTGATCATTTGGCTGCGGTCGGTGTGATCATTTGGCCGCGGTGCGATCATTTGGCTGCGGTGTGATCATTTGGCTGCGGTGTGATCATTTGGCTGCGGTGTGATCATTTGGCTGCGGTGTGATCATTTGGCTGCGGTGTGATCATTCGATGCATGCAGCTAATGATTGTCTTAGAAGGCTTGTCAGATTGTGTGTCAGTTTGTATTTAAATTCGATATTTAAAGCGTTTAAAGTATGATATTTCGAATATCACCGTAATATATCTACCTACCTGAAGACAAGCCTTCCACTGAATTTTTTTCTGAACCCCCTTTTAGAATATTTTCTAGGAAGAGTTTAGAAGCAAAGACAACGTTGAGTAGGTAAATCCATCATATACTTGGCTTTTTAAATACTTTGTTAACTTACGATTTAAGCTGGCAAATGATATAATTAAAGGAACCGTGTACCCTTGAATTTCGCCCTGAGCATCATCAAAAAAAAAAATAAATAAAATGTTGGTGTCGTTAAACCCGGATAACCTGCAGCGTTCGGTTTAATTTGTTTGGATGATTTCACATGGGACTTTAGAGCCAAAGCCAGCCGGCCTATTGTTCGCAGTTCGCACATACTAATGCCTACGAAGTCATTAAGGATTTTGTTTACCAGATTCCATTGGTCAGATTAATGATTTTTTTAGATTTTCTCAAGAATCTGCATGTAGATTCTTTTTCGTTCATGAATGAATAACGCAACAAAGTTTCTCATATGGTTTAGTTTATTGAACGAGTATCATAAATTCTCGATTAGTTGTTGTTAAAAAACGACAATGAGATCTTTCTAAGTTTTCATTATGTGATGAAGAATAGTGAAGCAGATTTTCATGGGTAACTATGGCTAAGGATCGTTCGTATTCAGGCTTTGTCTTACGCCTGACAAAGAACCAGCCGCACATTTAACTACTATTTACATCGACATTTCTGGGAGCTATCGTTCTATCGATCGTTACAACATAACCTGGCTACCTTGACCCAACCTTAATAGATTTGGCAGACAATCTCTACCTAACTTCGCTGTCTAATATCATATCACGTGATTGGTGGCTGCAAAAGCCAATATTTTCAGTTGACAATAATTTATTTTTACGATTTTTGTCTAACTATGCTATTTATAGTTACTGGAGCGGTATTCTCCGTGAACTTAGTTTACGATTTGGTAATTAAGAGCTTCATAGCTTCGTCGAAAAATTCAGTTGGAACTGGTTCACAATCGCCGATGTTGAATTTTACATCGATACCCGCGTAGAATTAATAAACAATGTTATAATTTTGTTCGAAATTTGACTTCAGAACAGACTGTTCATTGTTAGTTATATTATATACATGAAAGCTATATGCATTGGCCGCGCCAGGTTGCATGATTGCGGTTGAGGCTGGCAGCCGGTCAGCCATTCGACCTTGATACTACATCTGTTTCACAGCCACTGCTGGAAGTTTTGCTCCTGTCAATGCAATTACAAGAGAACATAGGCATTAACTATTTATTCCTAGTGCATCTAATACATGGCGCTATCAGCTATGTGTGTAGAAATTGTAAGGCTCTACAGATCAACGTTTTTAGACGTTACCCGCAAAAACATAGGTTCAGCTCGCGGTCAGTCGGTGTCGGTCTGTCAGACTGTCACACGCCAGTGTTAATCAGACTGTGCTTTGAGTAGGTTATGTGTGTCTTGTATCGAGCGTATTACTCACTCAATCTGTCAACAGGCTTAGATAAACGTTAATTTTTAATCTACGACACTTGTTACGAGGTTCTATTACAAATGGATAGCCAGAGTTATAAAAAATGAGCTAATTAATATAGGTATTTTGGTAAGATGAGATGGCGTGCACTGTTTGCGTCATGGGTGACAGGAATCGGCATGTAAGCTGTGTGTTGCCCACGTTTGTCGGCGTATTTTACGCACACTCAAATGTTAGGGGCGAAATTTTACTATTTTTTTTACTTTATACTCATTTCAATTTGCTCCTACTGTGAGTAGGCGATGTAAATGTTTTTACAGATATGATATTATAGAAACGGAATTCATTGTAGCCGCGAAGGGGATGATCTCCTGTGATATTTTAAATCATCATTGTTAAAAAATTTGTCACTGCCAGGCTTCTGGTGTCTGCCGGGAGTATTACGTTTGAGCAAAATAAAAGATTGACGACTAAACTCCATTGACTGATTTGACCTGATAAATGTTCATTTGTGCGTGTAAGAAGTGCGCGTATTTCTCTCATAACCCGATTTTACGTTTATTACACTTGCTATCACTAATTTCAATATTGGTGTCCGTTTTGACGCGTATACCAAGGCGGTCAATTAATTATTATTGAAAGCCCGCGAGGTAAATATGCACTTAAGCATTTTCGTCCTCCACGTGAACGACGTAATGTAGGTTTTAAAGTTGTAAAGGTCCATTTTTTAAAGCAAGCTGTTTCATTTAACGTCGCAATTATTTTCAGGTCAAGCTGCAAACACTTTCATGCGTCATCGCTCTTGATTTAACTAACGCAGCGATGTCCGATTACAAGTTGACTGGGAACAATGGACATGGAATTCGTGTATAATTACCGATGCCCGCGTAATATTGAATGATAAGTTATCTGTGTAATTCCTGACGCGATGAACTGTGCTAACTCATGCATTAAGGCCTTGAATGATAGTGCTCTATCGTGGGGCTTGCCCTGAAGATTAAGAGTGTTGTAAACATCTATATTAATATATGACATTATGATATACATGTTGTTTATGCTGTTATTATACTTTTGGAAGAATACTGTGATCTGTTGCTGCTGCATGTGCTTAGTTCCATATCGAGCGCAATTCCTAGGTCGATTATATCAATCGAAATTCTCAACGGAATTGAACACGAGCCGCGCGTGAATTAATTTATTTCATGAAATCCAATTTTAAATATCAGGTACCTACGTGATATTTATGTGAATAATAATAATAAATATCAAGTACGTGAATAATCCGCAAAACCAAGAAATTATGCGTTGTTTTGGATTCTTATTTCATCTCGTAACTCCTTTCGGCGTAACATCGGGTTTCTCCTCCCAATTAATTATTATACAGCTCCAGCGCACAGACGATAGTGCATACGCTAAACCTGATGAATACGCAGCAACAGAAAAGGCCGTTATTTCAAGCTGAATATTGTTAATATATCTAGTAACGTGAAGGTCGCATGATACAGGGTGCGGCGTGGGAACTTACTCTTTTAAAAAAATCACAAACTAAAAAGTATTAAAGATAGCGTTTTAATTCTTTCTTTTTTACAAAGAGCTACATTTAAAGTTTCGTTGGGTTTACTTACAAGTTTAATTCTTGAATATTACATCTTGTAGGTGACCTCCATGCTGTTCAATACATTTTGTCAGACGAGATCGTACTGAGTGGACGAAAAACTTCATAGCCCGCGCACCATATTGCGCATGGCGCCACCTTCCTAGGACTAATGGCCGCCACGTGGCGCGCAATTCAAATAAGTAAGTTCCCGCGCCGCACCCTGTACTATCTCCCATCAATTACAACAGTTTTCTCTTATTTTTAACTTGAAAGTTTCAATACTTACTCCGATGTAAAAATGATGATTAGCTGATGATCGTTGTTACGTATAATCGAGTTCAGCATGACCAGCGAATCACAGATGAAAGCAGAACGAGCGACGAAGTCTGATGTCATCATCCGGAAGTACTTACCAGGCGCTGTGTATGCTGGTGAGATGAACTACCAATATTTTGCTACTATACCTGGAAATACCAGGATAACTATACCAGCGGTATAGTTGTTCTATCCTAGTGTTTAGGTCAGTAGTCTGCAAGTTAGTTTATACCATCAATGATGTTGCCTGCGTTCTTTTAGTTCGATGCTTTGGTCAGTAGTGAGTAACGTAGTCTGTAATATCACTGGTGGCCGCACGGCTCTTCTATATACCTTATGACATCATGATGAGTTTAGGACTTCGTAGTCCACGGTCGAGCTGATGCTCCACCTTCGTCGTCCTCCGTCTCCGAGTCGTCGCTAGGCTGGTCACCCCGCCCTCGGGTCCCGGATGTAACGTTGGACGTGTCCCGTCTATTTGCTCTCCTTTGGGCCAGCTGATGCAAGATGCTGTTGCTTGTCACTTGCGGAGGATAGTTTCTTATTATTGAACAATCCGGGATCTTCTTCAGAAATTTATTCAGTTGTCTCTTGAACGTCGCAAGGGTGAACTCCCCTCCTCTCAGCACCTTTGGTAAGGCATTAAACAGCCTTGGTCATACCACGGACAGTGACCTCTCAGAGAGACTGTACTCTGGCCGCGGCTCGGTTATTAAATGGGGGAATCCTGCACAACCTCCCCGTCCTTTCGTTGTAATATGTCACTATTCTGGAGGTCTCACATTCAAAGTTGGGAGCCAGTCCGTTTACAATCTCCCAAGTGTACAGCATGTTATACATCTCTCTTCTCCTCTCCAGTGAGTACAGTCCCAGGTGTTTCAGCCTGTCCCAGTAGTTCAGGTTCAGCTCCCTCATGCTGCTGATCCTGTACAAATGCTACGAGGAACCTCACGATCATTACTTAGTAACTTAGGACATTAGATCAATGGATCTCTGCCAGTAATGTGACTTCAAATTCAAGTGATTGAAAAAAAAACTTAGGACAAAATGGGAATTGAATATCGAAAATCAAAGACTATCATAAATCCGCCGGATGATCCGCCAGTTAACCTGTCATGTCCGTGATCGTGGGAGTTTTCTGACACCAACACCTGATGATAAATTATTCATCTTTTTCATGTTATATTTTTCATGTGTGCATGGTCTATGAGTTCCGTTGTGCACGCTGTGCATCTGCGTACGTTGGAATGACGTCGCGTAACTTCTACATCCGGGCTTCTGAACACCGTGGCAGGAGCTATCGTTCTAACTTGCCTCTCGCCAAGCCTCCTCATTCTTCCGTGCGCCTCCATGCTGAACAGTGCGACGTGGCTGTAACTGAGAGTGATTTCAGGATACTCGGTTCCACTTCTGGCTGCTCGGATTTGAGAATTTTGGAGTCTTTACATATCTTCAAACGAAAACCGTGTCTCAATAATGCGTTTTGTTCATATAATCTGAAAATAGTGAATGGCTAGGCTTTTATATTCTTTTCGTGAACTCCAGGTCTAAGTTGTTCCAATTGAGTCCTGTTTTTTCCGATATAATGTCAGGTCTTGTGTAGGTTTTATGTCTGTCTTAGAATTTGATATAGGTAATAATTTGATTTTATTCATTTTTAGTTTTTGGAACTGATGATGGAGCTGGACTCCGAAACGTTTTCAATATCGATATGGTGAATTTGCTTGGTGTTTTCTTTGCTTTTAAATTCCTCAAAAAAATATTTATTCGAATTTCCTGCCAAGACCCTCTAAAAGAGTCTTTCATCTCTGCAGGCATTAATTATATTTTAGTTACATTATTTCATAAATCACAGCTGTCTGCAGTACTTGTCACAAATGCTTTACCTACTATCATTATTAGACAGTTCTTCGTATTAACATTCGATTGTTCTACTTCTAATTGGTCGGCATTTCTTCGTCCGTTACTAATGATCGTTGTTGGCATGACAGGCGTGGTGGTGATCATCCTAAGTCACCTGGGACTCCTTCCTAAAGGCCACACATCCATCCTGTGTGATGACCCAGACATCCGACGCATACTTACTACAGAGACCGTCTCTGTGGCGGCTCTGCTGCTCATGGCCACAGCTGGACCTTTTGTTAACGTGGGTGGAAGTTGGAACCTGTTCAATGTGACGTGTTTAATGCGGTAACGTATTTACTGCGGTGACGTGCTCAATGTGGTAACGTGCTCAATGTGGTAACGTGTTTACTGCGGTAACGAGAGTATGTTGTGTTTGTCTTTGTAACGTAAGGGCAGCGTAATTACTGTCGACGTTGCAGTGAATTTCTTCTTGTTGCACATCCCTGCATCTCTTAAATAGTGTAATATCGTTTTGTCGACATCTCGGAATTTGTTCTCCAATTCTTGGTAGAACTTGAAACTGCACCTCACTGCTCCTACTTGCTTGGTGTTCTCGACGTAATGCACCGACAATCTTTGTTCTGTAGGAACAAATTTTGATTGCACTTTCTACCCCACAGTTCACGATCTTTAAACTCACCTGTTGCCGTTGCAGATTTTTTTCTGGAACAGTTTACAATCTTTAAATTCACCTGGTTGCTATTTCAGATATTTTTTCTGGAACAGTTTACGATCTTTAAATTCGCTTTTTGCTGTTGCAGATTTTTTTTCTGGAACAGTTTACAATCTTTAAGTTCACCTGGTTGCTATTTCAGATATGTTTTCTGGAACAGTTTACGATCTTTAAATTCTCTTGTTACTGTTGCAGATATTTTTTCTGGAATGGGCGCTGCCTGGCAAGTCTGGACGCAGTGCGAGGCACGCGAGCAGTTTGTCGTGGCGTCTGTTGAAGGATTGTTTCAGTGGTCAGTTGTTGGCTCTGCTCATCGTCGAGTTCTTCAAGATGACCGTCAGTGAAGCGAGACCTCACTTCATGCAGACGTGTCGGCCTGACCTGTCCGACCAACTCTGTAGTATGGGGTGCGTTCCAATTATTATAGGACCAGCTCTGTAGTAGATTTTCTGACCAAATCTGTCGTATGGGGCGAGTTAACATTATTATTTTCTGTCCAAGGGGTGCGTTGCTATTATTATTATAGGACCAGCTCTGTAGTAAGGGGGCTATTCTAATTAGGCTGTAGAAACATCAGACCAGATACAGCTAACAATGTGTCCAGGTACGTGACCAGATACCATGTGTCCAGGCACGTGACCAGCTACAATGTGTCCAGGCACGTGACCAGATACCCTGTGTCCAGGCACGTGACCGGATACCAAGTGTCCAGGCACGTGACCAGATACCAAGTGTCCAGGCACGTGACCAGATACCATGTGTCCAGGCACGTGACCAGATACCATGTGTCCAGGTACGTGGAGGTGACCTGGCGCAACTGTACCAACCCGCTGGGTCTGGACAAGCCTCATCTGCTGGACTCGATGAAGTCCTTCCCCTCGGGACACGCCGCGCTGGGCGCCTTCATCGCCACCTACATGACCGTGCGCTACTCATGAACTATCTATAATATCATTATATAAAGCATGATATTATAACATAACATAACATAGTGATCTCGGCGCTGAAGTGTAGGCCTGATGTGGCCTATCGCCGATTTTTTTCCTTTTCGTGCCTTGTTCACAGAAGATCTAATATCGTTTCATTTGACCGGATATTTTCATGACTGACGATAGGTACATCTAGGTACTATAGCATCTTGATAAAAATATAGTACCTGAGCTTGATTTATGAACCTAATAATAATATAATAATGATATTAATATATGGGCTTAATTATTGTAATACGAGTATAATACACGACTCTTTGAAGTAAGCGCTAGCTGATTTGCAAGCCGCTTATTTCAAAGTCATATTTTTCACAGTAATTTACTGTACAACAATGCGTTACACAGAAAATAATAGCAGAAAATTATACATAAAATAATACCAGAATAATAATACTGCAGTGATACCTGGATTTGTATGACATTAGGGGCTTCCAAACTATGGTATCCGCACCACTAGTACGCGCTAGGTCCTTAAGGGGGGTAACATAACAATTTCGGCGTAATAAGTAATTTTTGAGGGTATTCTTGAAGTATTCGAGTATTTCTAAAGTTATGCGAATGTTTCTTTCCGAATACAAGCAATTATTGCGACGATTTGCAATAATTGCCTCTCGATTCTCTCTGCTCCCTCAGTTAAATCCTAACAGTAAACTCGTTCATTACGCGAATTATTAGTGCATTCAGTTAAGTAAAGTTCTATATTCGGGGCTTATTTATCCATAGTATTGCATAAAGTAATATAAAGGCTAATGTCTGTATTAGTATTAATGTTACGTGGTTGGTAGCTGATGGTAGGTACTGAACTTCCAAGGTGTTCGCGATTAAATAAACGAGTAGAAACTCATTGCGTAAGGTTATCAATTGAATAACAATGATTATAATGATTAATTGAATAATGTATGTATAAATGCGCACAGTGGTACCTGATGACGCGGCTACGGGTGCAGTGGTCCCAGCTGCTGGGGGTGGTGTTAGCACTGCTGTGGGGGGCGTGGGGGGCGCTGTGTGGGGTGTCCCGCATCTGGGACAACAAACACCACTGGTGGGACGTGGCTATCGGGGCCGCCCTCGGGACCTGCATCGCTGCGCTCACTGTGCGTATACTCGTGCTCACTGTGCGTATCATCATGCTCACTGTGCGTATCTTCATGCTCACTGTGCGTATCTTCATGCTCACTGTGCGTATCTTCATGCTCACTGTGCGTATCTTCATGCTCACTGTGCGTATCATCATGCTCACTGTGCGTATCTTCATGCTCACTGTGCGTATCATCATGCTCACTGTGCGTATCTTCATGCTCACTGTGCGTATCTTCATGCTCACTGTGCGTATCCTCATGCTCACTGTGCGTATCCTCATGCTCACTGTGCGTATCCTCGTGCTCACTGTGCGTATCCTCATGCTCACTGTGCGTATCCTCATGCTCACTGTGCTTGAAAATGAGATGTTACACATTCTACACACATTCAACATACAGTCATATAATTGCTGTCATGTTAGCTAAAGATATACTTGCATTTGATAATTGAGATAGATAATACTTTCATTTTGAGAATCAAGTTCTATATCCTGATCCTGTCATCCTGAACCCCATTACCGTGAATTCCATCATCCCTATTCTAGTAAATAATTTTAGGAATAAACTTAACTAAGTGGGCCATAATTGACTCATTTTCAGCCCTGAACTTCCGTTCAAGTCTTGTTTTGAAATATCAAAGAAAGTCCAGCCTGCTATTTTCGAATAAAAATTTACACGTGTCAAAGTAAAATGTAATAATGATTTATTAAACCAGCTCTCCCATAAACATTTCAATGTTCGGCGATTCCATCATTAAAAAAGTTATCAGGCAATATCCCGACAAGATAAGCATCTTACACATACACATTCTGATATATTTAACCGGTTGAGTTGCACAGTAATATAGTAATTATAGTGCATGTATTTATTGTTTATCTTCGCTTGTGTTTTCAGAATAAATTTAAGACGGTTAATGTAACTTTACACAAAATGTTTAACCACGTCTTCCAATTTAGTTGACTCATTCAATATTGCTTACGGGAGCGGTTTTTTAGAATCTTGTATTTAACCCGTTTAACATCATGGTCCGGATATTTATGGATTTTAACTTTCTTTTTATCATGTTTGTTATTCTCTATCTTTTGTAAGTGATTGTTTGATTGGCAGATCAAATGGCTGAGCTCGAAGCATTTGGCCGAGAGTCGCAGGCAGTCTACGCACCCAACGACCTCCTCCTCTCTCCCGCCGGCCTGACATTCCTGCTCTACGTTCAATAGTCTATAATGAAAAATCTTGTACAGTTTTTAGCACATTTTTCCATTTATGGGAAAAATGCACTATTGTGCTCGCCATGTCTGCATGTCTGTCCGTCTGTCCGTCCGTGACTTCACGTTTTCGTCGACGAGAAAATGTGCTCTCTGTTGTTGTCACTCACTCCAGTGAGTACCGAGTTATATTTTTTACACATTTGTCGGTCTGCATAAGTAGAGGGAAAGTGGAGTAGAGTAGGATAATTTTTTTTATATTAAGGGATATAACACTTGTCTGCTATGGCAATCAATGCCCTTGCTTATGTGTCATTACTGTTATTAATTTCCCTTTGATATATGAATAAATGGCGTGTGTCACTGTCTCCTACATATGTACCTACACCAGGTAGATTAGAACGTTGTAAAAGTATGCAGCCTGACGATGGTTAAGCTAATCTTGCGTGGGAGCTGGTTTAAAAGCTTAACGTTTTATTTCACTTGCTGTGTACATTTGTGTGTTATTTTGTGAGGAATTTGTTAATATATATACGCAAGTCTATTTCTGGTGGCTCCATGATTACTGTTTGTATTATTGTTATTAATGTAAACTCTTAGTCTATCATGTATACCGTTGCGTAGATGTGAATTATTTTTGTTAGTAAACTAAGCTGTTATGGTCGCATGCATAATAGGTATTGCGTTTTTAAATTTGGTAAATTTAATCGCATGAGGGCAAATTTAATAGCTGAGTGACATGGTACATGGTTAGAGAACTAATTTTAAATGAAATGGTAGCTAGCCTAGCTTTATATTCTCTGTGTTAATAATTTCATTTATGCCTGCGCACTAAATTATAGTCTTGCCGTTCCGCAAGACGTCATAAAAACTTTTATACAAGGCAGTAAAATTACATTTAATTTTTGGTCAACTCAAAGAAAAAAATTGTATCTTTAAATTGTATTAATTAAACATTTAAAAGTGGATTTAAATTTATAATGAAAAATTTTCAATTGAAAGTTATTTCCCGAAGCTCTAGTCATCAATTGTTGACAGTCATTGTCTTGTTAATGTACCGAAGGAACAGACAATAGTGTAATTTGAGTGAATCTAATGAGAAAAACCCCAAGCCTTGAGTCCAAGTGACACGAGTCTAATTATAAATGAATATATAACTCCTAAAATCTCCTGGTATGTAGAAGTGTAGAAGAGAATGTTGTTCTTGGCCCCTCTTCTCATCTCGATATGACAATGTTGCTCTCTCCATATCTCATCTTGAATTTCATTGTTTTAGTCTGAGAAATTATGCCGTCTACATAGTTTCCATGTGGTATCTTATGTTATTCATGCAAATAAAAGCTGTTTTGGACAGTGCAGGACGTTGTATTCCACTCATTTTTGGACCAGTTCTAACGAATATTTTTTCATGTGCTAGACATTACCGTTGGGTCCTAATGAATACTTCCAAGTTTCATACAGTTACGTTCATTAGTTTGGGAGATGTTCCTTGTTCACTGAATTTGGAGATTGGCCGTGAGACCGCCGCAAGACCGGCCGTAAATTTGTCCTACACTTTTGAGCAGCATGTCAGGTTCATGTCATTGAGGTTCAGGTTGAGAATTCACAAGGCGACACGAGTAGCCCCTGTAACTATCGCCCTGTCAATCTGACAATTAATTGTATTTTGTAAGGTAATGGAATCTGTGGTGAGGGTATCGATCACTTGACTGTTTACCAATTTCTATCAGACTGTCAACATTGTTTTATTGCCTGTAGATCCTGCACCACGAACATCTTATCTACGTTGAACGATTGGACTCGCCTGCTAGACGAAAGGGAGCCAGTGGATGCATTGTACCTTGATTTTGCCAAAGCATTTGACAGTGTTCCGCATGAGCGGCTGTTGCGTTAAGTCTTTGGGAATAGAGGGAAATGTAACTCCAATGGATCAGAGATTTTCTGGTAGGTAGACGACAACATTTCAGTATTAACGGAGCTGTATCAGACTGGGCATCAGTGCGCAGTGGCGTGCCACGAGTAAACGTTCCTTAGCCAACTGTGTTCGTTGCTTACAAACTGCCTGCCGTAAGTAGTGTCAAGCCTGTGCTCTTTCTATGTATGCCGATGACACAAAAGTTTGTAATACAGTGAAGGATGCGTCAAATAACGTGCAATTGCAAGATGATCTTGACAGTTAATTAAGTTAACTGGGCTGATACATGGCAGCTGCCCTGATTACTGCGTTGACGCACGCTACGAGTATGAACGCGTTCAGGAAAAGACGATATGAAGCTGTGTAGAAATATATGATCAGTCTTGGAATGCTTAGAGCCATATCAAACCTGGTGCCAGACTAATAGCTATTTCAAACTATAGTCAGTTTTGAAAAGATCCGGTCAAAGTACTTGTTCTTGGATCTGTGGACAAGTCACGAAAAGTGCAAGAATCGGCGACAGGCCTATTCTTTAGCGCCGACATCACTATGTTATGATGCGACATGATATGTTAATAATAGTTGTAAGACGTGGCACCTCGAGCATATATATCGCAAAACGTGTAGTGCGACGAAATATTTATCATTTAGGCCACCAATACATACAACTCAAGATATCTTTCTGTAATAAATCTTTGTTTGAGTTCGAAGTGCGCGTTACATTCCATAGGGTACGCACACAGTGAAAGCAGGTTTGCCCGCGCGGGCAACCTGCTCCAACCTGCCACAAGAATGAACATAGGATAATAATGTAAGTGTTCACAGTGAAAACTTGTACGAATAGGCTTCTGTATTCTATGGTTTCAGGTAACCAGCACGCTGGCAACCTGCTTTCAGTGTGTGCGTACCCATACATTGCATAACGTTGCACTAATTCTTATCATACTAATTCTGAACTTTGAAGTTGTCTATGTGGTAACATTTCTTTCTGATGGATGCAATTGAATTGAGTTTAAAATTTACAGCAACGGCATGTGCTGTGCAACTTCCATGGTTTTCTATCTATTAGATATATTCTATATTCCATGGTTTTCTATCTGTTAGATATTAGACTTCTTATGTCCATCAAATTTAACGGCTAAATTGTTTCATTTACTATTCAAATGCGCAAAACATCTAAGAGTTTTGTGGAGAACAGTTCTTCCACTTCAAAGTTGGATTTTCCGCTAATAGTGTCAATGATTCAACACCTAACATCCCCTGACCCTAAGAAGTGATTTAGTTTTAACAACTGCAAGGAATATACGAGTTTTATAGTCCACCAAAAATTTTGGTTATAACTTCCATGATTCAACCTCAATTAAGACCGCACTTGAGGATTTCATTAACTACTCAACTGCGTGAAGGCTGTTGAGTCGTTCAGTCGTCAATGTCAGTTCAGCCGTTTCAGAATTGCCTCATTAAATCACACATTTGATTTGGAAGTAGACCAACGATGAGGGCAAGGCAAACGTTCTTAATCAGTTCTTCAGCAGTGTATTCACAGATGAGAACTTGAACAGTATTCCAGAGATTGAGGAGCGCCCAGTCAGCTCGAAGCTAACAGGTTTTGAAATACACGAAGAAGAGGTTCTCAAGCGCCTGGTAGCTCAAAATCCCAACAAGTCATGTGGATCAGACGGCTTCCATTCCAGATTGCTCAAAGAATTAGCAACCGTTCTGGCCGGCCCATTGACAGTATTCTTTCAAAATACCTTGAACGAAGGAACTTTGCCGTCCGACTGGAAAGAAGCTCAAGTAACACCAATGTTCAAAAAAGGTGACAAAAGCAGCTCCGTTAACTATCGCCCTGTCAGTCTGACAAGTGTTGTTTCTTCCTATCCCTCACAACAGATAATGGAATCTGTTGTGAGGGATAGGATTATCGATCGTTTGACTGCTCACCATCTCATATCAGATTGTCAACATGGTTTTATTGCCGGCAGATCCTGCACCACCATCTCATATCAGATTGTCAACATGGTTTTATTGCCGGCAGATCCTGCACCACTAACTTATTATCTACGTTGAACGAGTGGACTCGCCTGCTGGACGAAAGGGAACCAGTGGATGCATTGTTCACCAACGATCATCGTATGCGACCTGCTGAATGACATGCTCGGTAAAAGGCTGTTTAGTACTTTATTGTTATCAGAGGTGCTGTTAGGTGATCTGTAAATGACCCCTATGAGAAGGCTATCTTTGCCTTTTAGAGTAAGTTCACACCACACTGATTCTCTAGCTGATTGATGATATAAACTAAACTGATGATATAAACTAAAAAAACTACGATGCAACATGGTGGTGCATGCAGCACCACGCACGTTGCTTAATACGACGTATCACCATGATTGGTGAACAGGCCTTTAATAAGGCCTTCAACACCTCAACCCTTCAAAGTCAAAGCAACTTCTCCACGCGACAAAATTTCTTCTCGCTTCGAATCACCGACATGTGGAACAGCCTCCCCGATGACATCGTTGGCGCTCCAAGTATGAACGCGTTCAAGAACAGAATAGTTAAAGCTATGGAAAAATATATGTTCAGATTTGAAATGTCTAGCACCATATCGAACCCGGTGGAAGTCGAGTAGCTATTTCATACTTTCGTCAGTCATGAAAAATTACGGTCAAATGACACGATTTTAGATCTTCTGTGAACAAGGCACGAAAAGGAAAAGAATCGGCGACAGGCCACATCAGGCCTACACTGCAGCGCCGAGATCACTATGTTATGTTATGTAATCATTTCTTAATAGACACAGTGTATTTTTAGTACATACCATCCCCTATTGGTTATCGATGAAATTTTTGTGCGTTTTATCTCCAAATTAATCGATGTCATAGTGCGTTCTTCACGTAATGTTTGTATATGCGGCTCTATCACCGTATAAATAAAAACAGTCATCTACTTACCCAAACACGTTACTGAGTTTAGTCAGATTTTCAGAAATTTCAACTGGGTATGGAACGCAACAAACTTCCAAAAGACGTTCACTCAGAAGTTTTTTGATCGCTAGTTTGTAATTAAAGTTGGATTTTATGCTTTGATTGGTAAATTAAAGTATTTGTTTAAGTTATGAGAAGAAATTTCAGAAAATGAACATTTCCACACAAACGTTGTTCGTGTTTGACAACAGACGCCTAATAGTAACTTTGGAATTAGAACTTCATGTCGATTTCTCTTCAGTCAGTGACTTTCTGCCTGCATTACTGAGAGTGCTGCTTATCTATGTTGAGTTCGTATCTTCAAATAAAATTCATGATTTTTTTCTGATCTGGTTCCACGTACTAATAACTTAAAAATGTCTGATAGGCGACGACGTAGGAAACCAGTCACAGAAGGTGGCTCTGACGAATCATCCGATGATTCGGCTGATGAAGTAATACACAACTCCCATTCTGATTTGGTGAGTTACCGTGACGTGAGGCGTGAGTACGGCACTGTCATCTATCAGACTCTGACTGTCTGAGAGAGTGACAGACAAAAATAATCATGGTGGCAAAACAGAGACCTGTTGTTTATATTCTGTCTTTTTGAGTTAAATTGAGTCCCATGAAAAGAGTACAAGACGGTCAAGAGTCAAAGCAGAGAGTTTTTTTAGACTATCTCTCAACTTCTCAAGTTCATTTTTGAGTCCTATAAGTAGACCAGTAAAGTATCCTAGATACCAGCATTATCATACATAAGAAATTGGTTCAATTCTTGAGTAAATGAGGAAATTAAAAATGAACTTATTCTAAAAAATATGTGGTTTGTCACTATGGTCAAGACTCAAGTCAAGACCACCTATCAGTATCATCAGGGTTCAGGGTACTTTAGTAACTTTACTTCTAAGTTTTAACATAGTGGCAACCTGCAACTGACAAAGGAGAAAATATTTTTTTGCCCTTCATTTTCGAATTCTGTAAGTAGACTAGTCACTAGTAAGTTTCTTGGATACCAGTACCACTACCAGGCTACCAGCACATGGTGGCAATCCATAGGTTATTCAAAAGAACCTGTTCTTATGTCATTTTGAACCGATCAACGCTTCTTTACGGACCGATCGTAAAACACCTTCACCGGCAAAAGCTTTTGCACTTCTGAAGAAAGTCAGCTGACAGCTACACTGGCCGTGGGGCGTGGTGGACCGAATTTGAATTTGAATGCATCCACTTGAAATCCTATCGACTCATTCGACTGTATAGTATACAACTTACAAGTCATAGAGCCTAAATTTTAAATATCTCTAAAAAAATTTACGTTTCTGCATGTATTATAATGCTGTTAACATTAGCAAACTTTGAATTATCTCTGATGCAAGAAATACTTGCTTAAATCATTTTATTTTCAATATAAGCGACTGGATGCAACAATCGGTTCGCAACAAGGAACATAGCCTTGACAGCAGT